TTCCTTCCTTCCTTCCTTCCTTCCTTCCTTCCTTCCTTCCTTCCTTCCTTCCTTAAACATTTATGGTTGGGGGAAAAAAGAAAACAAAAAAAAAGTTTTACATTTACATTCATCTTTTGAAGAACGCTTGATGTCACCAGCTAATGATTTTTATTTAAAATGTCGACCACATTTGTCAGAACTGTAGCCAACAATTTTGCGGGTCATTTCTGTTCTGTCTCAGTGGTTTGGACTTCTACAAGTCGGCATAAAAGCAGCTGTTGTAGTGAGATTCCCAAACCCAAGAAATAAATGAGCAGAGTAGTTTTCCTTTCCTTAATTGACAAAATCAATAAATGAAAATCAAGAATTAGAGAGATACAGCTCTCTTCTCTAGGTTTCAGTTAAAAGTTTCAGTAAAAGTTCTTCCTAGTTACAGAAACTTCTTAAAAGCAAGAGTTTCCCCTTTCCTAACTTCTTCTCAGTACTCTTCAAAGATGGAAAGCCCCTCAGGGAGTAGGCACAGTCTGATGCACATGATGTCTCCCAGGGACACATATAACTCAGAGGAAAACAGAAATACAAGGAAAGTCGTCCAGGAACATCACAGTTCCAGAGCTACCTAAAGAGGTCTTGCCTGGATCTCTTTTTCTCCCCGTCTTCCAACACACACACACACACACACACACACACACACACACACACACACGCATATCCCTTCCAATATTCCACCCAGAGATCTGAGGTTTCCTTGCTTCTTTCTACATATTCCTTATAACTGCCACAGGGTTGGAGAGAGGCTGGTGCCTTTATTAGGCTATCTACAACAATTACTGATTTCTTGTCCCTAAAGGCAATTGTCTTGTTTTATTAATTGTGATAATAACAATGATGTGATGTTCCCTTTTCTAAAGCAACTTTTTAGCTGCCTCCAAGCTAATTATTTTAAGAGTAATGTATCCAAATCACCTACTTGGTGTAAAAGAAATGAAAGGTAAATTTTATACCATCTGAGTATGTGTATGCTATGAGAGATAAGGGAAAGAAAAAGTATTTATTATGTGCCCTGGCACATAATAGAATCCATGGGCTTTATGGAATTTTGTCAGGTGACTCTGTGACTAGGTCATGGGGCATGGTCCTTCTCAGAGAAGAATTCATCCCAATTAAAGGAGAGTCTATCACTTTAGGAACCCACTTCATTGTTAATAGTCACTGACAAAAAATTCCTGATATTGTTTGAGCCCTCAAAGCTACATCATGGCCCAAAGTAATTTTTAAACAGGGTTTAACTGCTCAAAATTCCTTTAGATTTTTAATGTGATGAAATAGTACTGAATTTCTTAATCACTTGGCCAAATATAATCAGCATGAAAGATTATAGCCAATTGTAGCCCTTGCCTTCACCAGAGATAATCTAGTTCCACGTGGTCTGGTAGCATCCCGCCATTCTGAGCTCTCTCTTTGGAAAACTCCGGAAAGCCGATGTGTTGTCCTCTGTCCAATAACTGCAGTGTCAGTTTCAGTTTTGTAGTACGTCAACAGAATTTGTCTGCGTAGCAACTCTGATACCCAAGGCTGACTTAGGTTTTCTGAGCAAGGTAAGCCTGGGGTTTTTTAAAAGGGTATACAGCAAGAACCATCTTGTTCTGGACTTTATTGAAACTCTAGGACCTACAATAAAAAATAAATAAAAAGAGAGGTCTTTTTCATTTGCAAAGAAAAACCTATTTGTTCTCAGAAACCACTGTGGAAAGCCATAATAGGCCGATTGTTGGGAATTTCATTTCCTAGTTAACACAGTAGATATTAAAGAATAAAAATTATTTACCAGGTGAATGATTTAAGTGCCAGTAGGGGATGGATTTCTGTAGTTTTCTCTCATTATTGCACGTCAATAAGATATGGCAGAAACCAACGAGTACAGGGTTGGTATGATAATGGTCCACAAATAGCATGCCAATCCAGGCTTGGAATCCTAGAGTCAAAAGGATCCAAGAAAAGGATGTCTTAGACCCCAGAAATGTATCAACTCTTTGTTTGATCAGTGTACTGGGGACCCCTTCTATACCACAATGAGAAATGGAACACTGAGGTAGAGGCCGGTTTGTCAGCACATATCAACATATTAGGGGAAGCTCTATACCACCTGGTACAGAGGATGGAGTACTAGGTCTGAAGTCAGGAAGACTCAGCCTCGTGAGCTCAAATCTGGCCTCAGAAACATACTAGCTGTGTGATCCTGGGCAAGTGACTTAACCTTGCTTGCCTCAGTTTCCTCATCTGTAAAATGAGCTGGAGAAGGAAATGGCAAACCATTCTACTCTCTTTGCCAAGAAAACTCCAAATGGGGTTAACTTCCATGAACCTGCAGTTCTCTTTTTTTGCCTCCAGGTGGATCTCAAGTCTTTGCTTTGACTAGCTGCTGGCTGAAACATTTCTAAGTCCTTTCTGATGCAATTTTGTTTTCAAAACTATTCACTGACACATTCTCAAACAATCTGCTTCTTTACTAACAATGATTATAACCTTGTAACTAGTTAACAAAATGTAAGTGTGAACAAATTATATAGAAATGTTAGCTAAACTTTAAAAAATATATTTTAAATTTATGTATTTTAAATTTTATATTTATATATTTAAATTTATATATTTCATTAAATTACAAGTACAGTTTTGAAAATTTTTAACATTCATTTTTTAAAAATTTGAGTTCCAAATTCTTTTCCTCCCTTCCACCCTTGAGAAGGCAGGCAATATCAATTATATGTGTGAAGTCATGTAAAGCATATTTCCATATTAGCCATGTTGCACAAGAAAATACACACACACAAACAAGAAAAACAAAGTGAAAAAGTTTGCTTCAATCTGCGCTCAGAGTTCATCTGTTCTCTCTCTGGAGATGGATAGCATTTTTCATCATGAGTCCTTTGGAATTGTCTTGGATCATTGTCTTGATCAGAATAACTAAATCATTGGCATAATATTGCTATTAATTTATTATTGCAAGCACAGGGGCAAAGAACACTTACCCATGTCTGCAGCTTCATAACCATTCTGCATGATAGTCCTGTCTATGCGTGCTATTAGCCAGGTTCCCAGGATGCAACTGACAAATAGTCTGAACAAACAAGCTCCCAGGCCCAGAAGCACATTGTAGAAAAACAGAAAATAATTGAAGTTGTGAAATGCTTTCCTGAAAATAGGAGAGTTCAAAAGTGAATCCTCTCATTTTTCATAATTATCTAATATTTATCTTTCATTTGGGGGTTAAATATACAAGAAACCTCAGTTTATTCAATTCAACCAATATTAATTCAACACTATACTAAATACTTAATGGGGATACAATAACAAAACCAAAAAATAGTCCCTGCTCTAAAGAAACTTCAATTTTATTTGAGGGTGGAGCAAAGAGATACAATATGTCACCAGAGAAGTAAATACAAAGGAATTTGAGGAGGGCAGTAACACCTAGAGAAGGTGTTATATGACTTGCAATAGGACATGACACCTAAATTGAGCCTTGAAAATAAAGATTCTAGGGGCAGCTAGGTGGTGCAATGGATAGAGCACTGGCCCTGGAGTCAGAAGGAATCTGGCCTCAGACACATAACACTAGCTGTGTGACCCTGGTCAAGTCACTTAACACCAAGTGCCTTGCAAAAAAAAAAAAGAAAGAAAGAAAGAAAATAAGGATTCTGAGAGGAAGATGTGTGAGGAGTGAGGACATTCTGTGTACAGAAGAGTAGCCCCTGAGAAGGGAAATGGAACGCTGAGTTTGGGGAAGGCCAGTTTGTCAGGACTTTTGAACCATAACCAAGGGTAAATAGGTGGTGCAGCAGATATAGCTTGGAGTCAGGAAGACTCATCTTCCTGAGTTCAAATCCAGCCTGAGACACTTCCTAGCTGTGTGACCCTGGGCAAGTCACTTATCCCTGCTTGCCTCAGTTTCCTCATCTGTAAAATGAGCTGGTGAAGGAAGTGGCAAACCACTCCAGTATCTTTGCTAAGAAAACCCCAAATGGAGTCATAAAGAGTCAGACATGTTTGAAACGACTGAATAACAGCAACCAACATACCAAGAAGTGTGAAAAAGAACAATGTGAAATAAAACCAGGAAGGTAAGGTGAAGCCAGATTGGGAAGGACTTAAATTTCTAGGCTGAGGGATTTGCATTTTATCCTATAAGGAAAAGGGATAGAGTGGGTTTTGAGCAGGGAAGTGGCGTATTAGATAGAGCACTGGACATAGAGTCAGAAAGACCTGATTTCAAATTCCCCTCGAATTCTTAATAGCTATATGACCCAGGGCAAGTCATTTAACCCTTCTCTACCTGTGCTACATCATCTGTAAGATGGAAGCACCAACTTCCCAAGGATGCTGTGAGGATAAAATGAGGATAAAATGAGATTATATGAGTAAAGTGCTTTGCAAACCACAAATCACCAAGTAAATGAAGAACATGAAGGAGGAGATGAAGGAGGAGGAGGAGAAGAAAGAGAAACAGAAGAGGAGGAGGAGGGCAGCACATTGGAAAATTCACTGGGCACACTGGAAAGGTCACTGGTTTTGGAGTCAGAGGACTTGGGTTCAAATCTTGCTTCCTTCTTTTACTGCCTGTATTATCTTGGTCATCAAGATCATTCAATCTGCAAACTTATTAAGTGACGACAATGTTCCAGGCCTTATGCTAAGCACTGGGGATACAAAGAAAAAGCAAAAAATAAACCCTTCCCACAATGGGCTAACATTCTAGTAGGGGAGACAACATGCACATAAATATACACATACTGAATACGTACAGAATATGGGTAGAAAATAATCACAAATGAGAATGTGAATTCCTTATGAATAGGAATAGTCCCACCCTCTAACTTAACTCAAATATTTCCTTGTCTACTGGCTTCTTCCCTACTGCCTGCAAACATGCCCATGTCTCCCTCATCTTTAAAAAATCCTTAGTTGATCCATCCATTCCTATTAGTTATTGCCCTATAGCTCTTCTCTCTTTGTAGTTAACCATTTTTGGAGGGGCTAGGCAATGGGGTTAAATGACTTGCCCAGGGTCACACAGCTAGTGAGTGTTTTGTGTCTGAGGCTGGAGTTGAACTCAAGTCTTCCTGAGTCCAGGGCTGGTGCTATATCCACTGCACCACCTAGCTACCCCTGTAGCTAACTTCTAAGGTTATCTACAATAGGTATCTTCATTTCCTTTCCTCTCACTTTCTTTTTTAATTCTCTACAGAAGTCTGGCTTTCTGACCTCATCATTCAACCAAAACAGCCCTCTCCAAAGTTACCAATCATCTCTTTATTGCCAAATCTATTGGCCTTTCTTCTATCCTCAGTAGCCTTTGACTGTCAATAACCCTCTTCTCCTTGATACCCTCTTTTCTCTAAGTTTCATAACACTACTTTATCTTCCTACCTGTCTTTTCCTTTTGTTTTCTTTGCTGAATCTTCATCTTGGTCATGCCTGCTAAACTTGTATGTCACCCTGAGCTCTGTCCTGGCCCCTCTTCTTTTTTCCTTTTACAGTATTTTATTTGGTGATCTCATAAGCTCCCATGGTTTCAATTTTCATCTCTATGATGATGATTCTCAGATCTACTTGTCTAGCCCTAATCTGTCTCGATAACCTCCAGATTCATATGTCCAGTAGCCTATTGGATATCTCAAACTGGATGTCTCATAGAACTCTTAGAAACTCCATATGTCTAAAGCTGAACTTACTATCTTCCCCCCATCCCCAACTCTAGGGGGTAGATTTCTTCAGGTCTCAAGTAAAAATCCATCTTCTAGGACAAACCTTTCCTGATCCCACTTCCTTCTTGTTGTTACTGTTCAGCCGTTCAGTCATGTCCAACTCTTTGTGACCTTGTGGACCATACTGTCTGTGGTTTTTTTCCAAGGAAACTTAATGCTAATACCTTCCCTCTGTCGATTATCTCCAATTTATCCTGTATATATCTTGTTTGTATAGTTTTCTTTTCCTTTTGTCTTCCCCATTAGTCTACGAGCTTCTTGAGAGCAAAGACTATTTTTGCCTTTCTTTGTGTCCCCAGATCTTAGTACAGTATATACTGTAGGTGCTTAGTAGATATTTGAGATTTAAAAAAAAAATAAATTTTTGTCTTCCCTTCATTGAAAGCCTCATTGTGAGTCAGAGATATTTCATCCTTTGTATTTGTATCCCTAGTGCTTAGTACAATGCTTGTACATAGTAGGTTCATGCCCTTTATATTTCAGCTAAATTGGACTACTAATCATTTCCTGATTCCAGGGAATTTATAGTGGCCATCCTCCATGCTTGTAATGCACCTTTTCTCTTCATTTCTTCCTGTTGTAATCCTTCTCTTCAAGTCCCTCTTCAAGCACCACTGCTTCCATGAAGCATTTCCTCCAGCTGAAAGTGACTCTCCTTCATATTTGCATAGACTGTTATGTCTAGATCTTCCTTTGCCCTAACCACAGTGTTCTTGTATAATACTTTGTACAAATAAATCTTATCTCCTGTATGATATTGTAAGCTCCTCAAGGGCATGGACTCTTGTCACTTCTCATCTTTTTATCCCTTATGACCATTATGGTACCTTTCATGTAGCAGGTGGGTAATAAACCTTTGTCAAACTCCATTGCTGAATACCAACCTTTTATGTCATGTTTCCTCATAGCTTATTTATATTTATTCTCTTAAAATTTAAACTCATTTAGTTCTGTTCTAGGTAGAATTGTATGACAGTTGTCCTATAAAAAATATTTATTCATATTCCTGAAAAAAAATTGAAGACAACTTACATTCTTACACTAGATTGATTAAAAATGTGAGTTGGTTTCTTTTACTTACCTATTGTTTAGAGCTAATGGTTTTTGCCTATCTCCAGGTTTAATCTTTGGCTGAAGGAAAAATCTGGCTGCTATCTTTAGTTGTAAAATCATGAGTCCCACAACAATAGAAATGGTGAGACTGAAAGATAGAAAAGAAGATGTCATGGCTTTAGAAAGTAGCCTGCTGTTTAATGGGTCAGATTCTTAGTCATGCTGCATAGAAGACCAAGGCCTAAGTGGCCTATTCTCCCTTGATTCCTCTTTGGACTTACAAGAGTTGTGGAGAGAAAAATGTACTACATCTAAAAGCGAATACAACAACAACAACAACATCTTAAGAAGAAGCAATCAGGAAAAATCATAGTAAACCATTGTATCATACTTAACCACAGATGATAGAGCATCTAGTGGATTGAGCGACTGGGCCTGGAGCTTGGAAGGCCTGAGTTCAGGTTTGATCTGACACTTACTAGCTGTGTGATCCTGAGCAAGTCACTTAACCTCTCAGTTTCCTCACCCGTTAAACAGGGATAATAATAGCATCTACCTCCCAGGGTTATTGTGAGGATCAAATGAAATAATATTTATAAAGCACTTAGCAGAGTGCCTGTCACATAGGTGTTGTATAAATCTTAGCTATGTTGATGATGATGATGTTGTTTTAGGGAGAAAATGGTTCCATGGTTGATTACAGCAAATCCTATAGGCCTCACACACTATAATCAGCTAAGAGAAAGACATACTGCTAATTGTCTAAATCTTGAGAAATAAAGAGATTGGGAAAATGACTTGAAGAATTGCCTGATCCTATCTCATCCTTTAATCATTGAGTTAGAGCCAAGAACATTGTCCAACATGCTGAGGTTGAAGTTATGAAGATAGGGAAGTACTTCAAAAGAAAGAATGTAAAAATGAAATCACTCATGTCAGTGTATTAAGAAGAAACCTCAGTAACTTACATTCCAATTCCCAAACCTTTCAGCATTTCCAGTCCTTGGTTGTGAATTACTGGTAAAACCAAACCGTACATGATCATCACACCAAACAGACACTGGACCACGTGAATAATGAGGTAACCTGAAGCAAAATGAAAAACAATGAACTAAATTAAGCAAGCTTTTATTAAGTATTTATTATGTGTAAGGTACTGTGCTTGAGAATATCAATCAATCTAATATATTAAGTGCCTACTGTGGTGCTGTTCTAAGTGTGGGAAATAGAAAAAAAAAAAAGGCAATAGTCCCTGCCCTCAAGGAGCTTACTATCTAATGGATGTAAAAACAAGATAAGAAGTGGGATCAAGGACACAGTTAAAAGAATTAGCCTTTTCAAGAATAAGAGTAATCTTTTCTACTGAGATGTAGAAAAAGAGATGAGTGAAGTCATGCAAGTTTTGAGGGAAACTGAGGGAGTTCACATCAAAAAACCTCGATCTCCTCAGGAGTTGGTATAATCTTTTGAAAGTTTGAAGGTCATGAAGAAGGTTGAGGAGAGAGGAGAAATTTTGGAACAATCACTGTAGGGAAGGCAACAGAGAAAGGGTCAATCACAGATAAATAACTTCATTGTCATGTTTCAGGAAGGGCCTAGCTGAGATGGATTAGCATGTATTCATAATGGGCTCAATCCCTATGGTTTGATGAGTGGGGGCTGGGGGCAGAGTGTAATGCTCTATATCCTAGAAACAGGAGGAAAGAAGGTGAATGGCGGGGGTTATACCAAGGATTTAGTATTAATAGGGTAAGAACAGTAGCAAGGATTCTAGGGTGTTAGCAATTGAACACCTCAAATGGTTGATCATGGAGTCAATGCTAGAGAGGGAGTCAAGTGAAGCAGCACTAGGCCTAGGTAATGGACTGAAAGATAAGAAAGGACTCAAAGGACCAGAAGCCATGGTGAAGGCAAAGAGCAGTTTCACTAGGCAGTGAGGAAGTGGGAGAGGTAGAAGGACAAGTCCAGAATTAAATCCCAGAATTCAAGATCTTCATAGTAGAGCAGTCCCAAGAAAGTGATGCTCAAGGTGTTGCTGGGAAAAGCGGAGTGGTGGGTAAAGCAGAGCGAAGATAGCTACACAAATTGAGAAGGCTGAGGAACTGTGAGGCCAGAATGGCAAAAGGATCTTTTCAAATCTCTGAGGATAATGGCAGCAGACAGTATTGAAAGAGAGACTGTGAATTAGGATAAAAACACATTAAGGAAGGTGGGAGAGTGGCCTGGACTTTAGATGTCCGTGATTAATGTGTGGACAAAGTAGTAGAAAGATGCTATGAACCTCAAAGGGGGAGAGGCTGAGTGATGATAGCAGATGATATCTAGAAGAGTCACAGGGAATGAGAAAATGAATAGCAGAAGTTTTTAGGGGTGGGGTGCCCTCAGAGGAAAAGACAGTTTTTAGTTAATTCAAAGAGGAAAGAATGTAAGAAAAGATACGTGATGTAGAAGTATTTATTTACAACAGAATAGCAGTTCCAAAGAACATGGGAGAAAAGGTAAGTAGCAGTGGGGAGAGGGATGGATAGGGCCTGGGAAGGAATAAGACTGAGATAGAGATAAAAGCTGGGAGAATGGGTTTGTGCTTATGAGAGTTTTGAATAACAAGATTTGAATAACAAGCAGGAGGTTAGGGAATTTTGAGAGGCATGTTATCGGTAAGGGAGCTGGAGATAGAGCTGAGTAAGTAGAATTGAATAATAGAAGACATTGTTAATCTCATTAACCTTGTTTTCAATTAGAAACAAAGCAATTTCTCATTAACATGTAAAGGTAGAGAACTTACCCCACAAAATATATGCTATTTGCCAACCTGAATATCTTGCTATGGCCACCTGAAGCAAAAGAAAAAAAACAAAACCAAAACAAACAAAAACAAAGCCATGTCAGTTTATTGCGGTAACTATTGCAAGTTATTGCAATCTAGATAACAAAATTTTCTGCAAATGTATACACAAAGAGCTTCTCTTTCAAGCAAATTATATATGAAAAAAATTTTTTTTAAGTTTCCTATGGGTTAAGGGACTGTGCTTATTTTCAAGATTACTAGGCATTTGGCAGATCTGATCATGAGTAAGGAGATTTAAAAAAAAAATGAGCCTGGGAGAAATGTGCCATCTTGGAATCAGAAGATATTTATTCAACTGCTGGTTATGTGTGACCCTGGGCAAGTCACTTAGCCTCAATTTCCCTATCTGTAAAATGGAGATGATACTTTACCTGTCTACCTCACAAGGTCATTATGAGGGTAAGTGAGAATGTATTTTAAACATTACATAAAAATAAGGTATTAGAATTAGTATGTTGTAAATTCAGGTAACTGGGTAATTCTAGAAAGAAAACCCACCCTTTGAATATCTTTACAGATTACTTAAGTAGAAATGATATTGTGGTCTTGATATTTTCATTACCTGAAAATCTTCATTAAAATTACCTCAGCAATTTATTTTCCTTTAATGTTAAAGAACTGATCTTATTATTGATAGAGAATCACTAAATGTGCAAAGTGCCATAGTTCTGAACATGTAGTTAGTCCTAAATAAATACTCATTAAATTGAATGAAACACTAAAAGGAAATCTGACTCTGTCCATATGGAATGCATGTCATGGTACTTTTTTTTTTTGAGGCAATAGGGGTTAAGTGACTTGCCCAAAGATCATGGTACTTTCTAAAAACAATTGTTAAAACAATTAAGTGACTTGCCCAAGGATCATGGTGCTTTCTAAAAACAATTCTTAAAACTTACCTCTCAATAAAAAAAAATGAAATGGATTAGTATGAATTAAGTTACATAAAATTCAGTTTATATGTGTGTGTATCTAAGTTCTTTTGATCTTCATTATTTCTTCCTTTAGCTAGAATGGCTTTTGCCTACCTCTACTAAAATCTTACCCCTCCTCCTATTTCTATTAGATGTCTCCTTCTCCTTAACTAGATGAAATCTCCTCTGAGAGCAACTGCATAGTACTTGGTACCTGTCTTATGGTGTCTTATGGCACCATTTTCTGTCTTGTATGAGTTGTTGGCATCCTTTTAGCTGCTCTACTAGATTATGAGCTCTTTGAAGGTAGGGTTATGCATCTATGCCTCCCAAAAGTGCTTAGTTTATAGTAGGCACTTTATAAATATTTGTCGAATGAATGAATGAGTCTGAGAAGATAAAGAATAACTTTCCCCTTAGTACTCAGACAATAGCAACAACATGGCCTTCCTCCCCTCTGCCACTCTTACAGATTTTCAAAGATCTAAATGCTCACCCACTTGACTCTGAACAGTGATGTAATAACGTATTCCTGATCCCACCCCTCCTCTTGCAAAATTGGAACAAATACTATAAGTGGGTTTTTTTCCCCATCACACTAATGAAAATGCTATCTTGAAGACCACTAATGATCAAATCCAATAGACTTTTCTCAATCTTAATTCTCCTATACTCTTCTCGGTAGCATTTTACACTCCAAACTCCAATAGCTTCCGTGACATTATATTTATTTGGTTCTGCTCCCTACCTTTCTTTCTCTTTTCTGGTCTCTCCTCCTTGTGGATATTATTCAAGACTCTAAATTTGACCCTTTGCTTTTCTCTCCATGTACTCCATATTTGAGGTCCTCCAATCTCAGGGCTTGGAGATCATATGGTGCATTGGGAAAAAAGCTTGATTTGAGGTCAATAGACCTGGATTCAAATACTGCCTCATTCAAAAATGCCTCTTTCTGGACACATGACTTGGGGAAGTCATTTAACCTTCATACATCTTAGTATCCTCATCTGTTGAATGGGGATGCAAATACTTGCTTTACTTGTCTCACACATTTGTTGTGAAGAAGGCAATTTATAAATTGCTATAGAAATGTGCGTTATAATGGCTTCATCTAGGTGTCCAGCTTCAAACCTCATATTTGATTATTCAGTATGTAAATCTCTAGGCCTAACCCTCCCTTGTGTCACTATGGAGCCAGGTTCTTTAGAAACAATCATCTTAGAGAACCCCTTTTATGCTTAGGTTCTTTCTACATCTGGGTACCTTCGCCCTCCCCTCCCTTTCTGCCTCCTCTTGCATGTTGTCTTCCTCCATTAAATTATAAGCTCCTTGAGGGCAGGGACCATCTTTTGCCTTTCTTTGTATCCTCAGTGCTTAGAATAATGCCTGGCATATAGTAGGATCTTAATAAATATTTATTGACTAACATCAAGCTTTCAAGTATTTCAATATCATCAAGGCTGATAATTATGTCTGTGGATCTAGGGATTTTTAGGGCATCTAGGAAATAAGATATAGCAGGTTGACGGGCCCATGTGCTTTGGTCCTTCAAGGCTGGATACTGTTTACATTTGGACCCAATAGTCTATTCAAATAAAGAATGGAGTCAAGCAACCATTAAGAACTTACCACACTATTGGAAGAGGAAGGATTGTGAAACTTCGAAGGAATGAAACTTTTCTCACCTAACCACAGCCTTTTTATATGTTTTCTAGGTGAAAGTAGAAAATTATTATTAAATGCAATTAGAAATATGGCCAGTTTTGACAAGAAAAACATGTAAAGGTAGGGAATGAACAATAAGTGATTATAGTAGTTGGTGCTTTTAGAGATGATATAGTATGATAGAAAGAGTACTAGATTCTGCCACTAACTAATTGTGAGGCTTAGGAAAATCAATTAACTTTCCTAAGCCTCTGTTCTCCCCAACCTCCAATAATAATAATAATAATAATAAGCACTTAAACAGCATTTTAAGGTATGCAAAGCATTTTACAAATATAATTTCATTAGATACTCAGAATAATCCTGGGAGCGAGGTGCTATTATTATCCCTATTTTACAAATGAGGGAACTGAGGCATAGCAAGGTTAAGTGATTTGTCCAGGCCAGTAAGTCTTTGAGGTGCAGTTTGAACTCAGATCTTCCCGATTCCAGGTCAGGCACTGTATTTACTATGCCAGTTAGCTGCCTAATCAATATTATCAGTTCCATCTCAAACGATTGCCATGAGGCTTAAAGGAGATTGCTTAACTTTATTAGTATCTTATTCCTTATATCCAACTGTCAGCATCTTTTAACCTCTGGAACAAATATGCCCAAGAATAAGAAAGTACTGAGAAGGCAGTATTCAGGATCTAGCTATTGCTGACCTTGTGACATATCATAGCTCCCCAGTCTTCGGTGTATACTGTGCCTTAGTATTTTGAACAGTTACTTGTACAGCATTCAGCACGATTCTCCCCAAAAAGACCTCACCTTATACTTTACAGGGAAAATGGAACTGTAGGGCCTAGCACAATTAGTACAGGACCATCTATAATAAGCAGTGAGTTTACTCAGATTACTTACATTTGAAGAGTACTTTGCCATTGTTAGGAAATCCTTTTATGGCTTGAAATATATGCAAGATCACCGTCATGATACTCTTAAAATCTATAAATCAGCATATGTCTCTATGTTTTTACATCGCATTTAATGCCAGTACTCAGCAGGTACTGATCCCTGTAGTAACATCTGTCACAATATCTTGCATAATTTTAGCATGTGCTTGACAGATACTTAGGCTGAAAAGTAGAGGGGTTGTTTTGTTTTGTTCTATCTAATCAAATGCTTTAAAAATAAGGGATGTATGTCTTCTGTAATATCACAGACATTTCTGCATATCCAGATGCTGAAACAAGAACAAAACTCAGTGTACACAGTGGCATCTAATATGTCAACATATACTGACTGAAAAGAAAGTGATGCTTTTATATAATAATGAGGGGTACATGGTAGCCCGAGGCAGTTACAATGATAATGTGCCTGTTTTGCTGCTAATTGCGTGATGTCATTGGATCTAAAGACAATGATAGAATCTCTAAACTAGAAAGAAACTTATTAGTTCCACCCATACCTGAAGGATCCTTGCACAAGATATCCAACAAGTTACACTGAATACATTTGAATAATTCCATTGCTGAGTAAACTCACTATCTTCCATTTTTGTAGAGCTTTAAGTGTTAGGAGGATTTTTTTCTTTTTTTTTTCAAGTAAGTCAGTTGTTTATTTTCATTGTTAATGTTTTACACAGAACGTTCCAGTAAATATGCTGAGGGTTGCACATACATGAAGGAACAAGAGGCTCAAATAAACAGGAGGCATGATCCCCAATTTCTTCTATTTCTTCCACTCTTTCTTGTCATAGTCCCACTTAGCAGAGAACCCCTGGATGGGACCAGCCTTCATGTCCAGCATTGTCTGGGTCTGTGTGGCCACCCACTCTTCAGAGAAGGTGTGCGGGAGAGGACTATAAACACAGCGCTTCTCCCAGATGACAATTAAAGCGCTAAAGCCAATGAAGAACATTGCGACCCCACCAATAGTCTTCCATTCATTTGAGGACTGGTTCATTTTAGCACAGGTCTCATTGAATTTGATAATACAACTGGACTTTCTCTTCAGAAGACAATTTACTCCATGGTTGCTTTTCCTTCTCTTTTAAGGCCTTCTGGCAGGAAAAATGGGTCCTGACATGAGCCACACTCCGGGAGGGGATAATCATGATGATCAACATAACTTGGAAGACTATAATCTTCAGTCTTCACAACACCTGCATGTGATCGAACACATGCAGAGGTGGAAATAGACCGTCTGCCAACAAGGCCAAACACCCTGGTAGGCAACATTCTGGCCCTGCCGCCGCTGCCACCGCTGCTGCCTCCTCTCACTGCCGCCCTCCACACTGTGGCAGCCCGACACCAGAAGAGCAAAAGGATTTTTTTTTCTTCATATCCAACGTAAATCTGCCTCTTTGCAATTCAGTCCATTGCTCCTAGTTCTCCCCTCTGGGGAAAAACAGAAAATTTAAAACTCTCTTCCGTGTGAAATACCTTCAAATATTTGAAGGCATGTCTCATATTCTTTGAGTCTTCTTTTCTCTTGAATGAATATTCCCAATTTCTTCAATTGATTCTTGTATTATATGGTTTCAGCTTGCTTCACCATTGTGCTCATAGTCCTCTGGATGATTTCTAGCTTGTAAGTTTCCAAATCTTCCCAAAATGTGGCACCAAGAACTGAGCATGATACTGCAGAAGTGATCTGACCAAGGCAGAGTCCAGCAGGATTGTAAACCTTCTTATTCTAGATAATATGGGTCTATGAATGTAGTTTGAAATTGTACTAGATTTTTTGACGGCAACATCACTCTGTTTCATATTGAATTTGCAATCTACTGAAACCCCTATTCACTCAATTATTATTTTCATACAGATAAAGGAGTACGTACAAACACAGCCTACTAATTAGAGAGCAATTAATGGTCCTAGAGGAAGGAAACATGCTAGAGTTAAAATTGTAAAAGGTTGAGTTCAAGCTCTAATCTGCAAAGGTAAACCATCAAAATGAGTTCACAGAAGTAACTAGTACCAAGGTGTAGGCAAAGCTTTGTTGAAAAGTCTGGAGCAGCTGATCCTTCTAAAACTGGTGGGATAAGTAATCTCCATTGAGTAAGTTGGGAAAGCGTCATAGAGTGTGAAGCACAAGGTACTGACAAATGCATTGACCTCATTCAAAATCTTAACCTGAGTTCCTTTAGGTGGATGGCCTGCTAGCCAACAGTCCAACTCCTTCCACACCTCACCCCCAGATACACACCCTGCTGCATCTTTACCAGTGTGGGCCTGATTACTATATCTCTCCTTCAAATGCTTCTCCAGGTCTGAAGACCATAGAATGGTGGGATAATATTGATCGAAGTTCTTCATCTACTCAAGGACATACACATTAGGCACTGATGCCATATTTTCTACTCAGGCATATAATTCTGCCGATCTTTCAACTACTAGAGATAGTAAGTCCAATTCCTAGAGGCTACCTGAGTCCAGGATCTCAGAGACAACATCTTATTTGTGTGCATTTAGTTGAGAGTGACTGAAAACTTGTTGGATATAGTCCAGGGTTAAAGGGCAGCTATGGAAAGAAGAGAACAATCTTAGCCAGTAGGCCATTTTGTTCAACCTCTATATGATTTGGAAGAGACCTATTCCTGACATGATTTTTATTCCTTCCTAATTGATTCTTTCTTTTTTTGGTATGTTTTTGTTTTTGTTTTTCCATTAAATTTTATTTCTTTAACTATTTCCCAATTATATGTAAAAATATTAGCATTCATTTAAAAAAATTTTGAGTTTCAAAATTTCTCCTTCCCTCCTGGTCTCCCCACTCTTTGAGAAAGCAAGCAATTTGATATCAGTTGTACATGTGAAGTCATGCAAAACATTTCCATATTAGCCATGTTGCAAAAGAAAACACAAACAAAAAAAGGATAAAGACTAAGTTTAAAAAGTGTGCTTCAATCTTCACTCAGAGTTCATCAGTTCTCTCTCTCCAGAGATGGATAATATTTTTCATCATGGATCCTTTGGAATTGTCTTGGATCATTGTCTTGATTAGAGTAACTAAGTCTTTCAAAATTGATCATCTTTACACTATTGTACTGTGTACAATGTTCCCCTGGTTCTGCTAAGTTCACTTTGCATGAGTTCATATAAGTCTTCCAGGGTTTTTCTGAAACCATCCTGCTTGTCATTTTTTATAGCACAACAGTATTCCATCACAACATGTGCCACAGCTTGTTCAGTAATTCCCCAATTGATGGACTTTTTTCTGATTTCCAAATCTTTGCCACCACAAAAGGAGTCACTATAAATATTTTATACAAACAGGTCCTTTTCCCTTTCTTTGATGGCTTTGGGATACAGACCTAGTAGTAATATCCACCACTCTATTTCTTAACCAGTACCAGATTGTTTTGATGGTTACTGCTTTATAACATAGTTTGAAATCTGGTACTACTAGTCTGCCTTTCTTTATATTTTTTTTCATTGATTCCCTTGACATTCTTCTTGACTCTTTGTTCTTCCAGATGAATTTTATTATTATTTTTCTAGCTCTGTAAAATAATTATTTGAAGGGCAGCTAGTGGCACAGTGGATAGAGCACTGGCCCTGGAGTCAGGAGGACCTGAGTTGAAATCTGGCCTCAGACGCTTGACACTTACTAGCTGTGTGACCCTGGATAAGTCACTTAACTCCATTGCCTAGCCAAAAAAAAAATAATTATTTGGTATAATTGGCATGATGCTGAATAAAATAAATTAACTTAGGTAGAACTATTATTTTCATTATACTGGCTTAGCCTATCCATGAACATTAATTTTTCTCCAATTGTTTAACTCTGTCTTTATTTGTAAGAAAAGTGTTTTGTAATTGCATCTCTGAGTTTGTCTTGGTAGGCAGACTCCAAAGTATTTTGTATTATCTGCAGTTATTTTCAATAGAATTTCTCTTTCTACCTCTTTCTGCTGGGTTTTGTTGGTAGTGTATATGCTGATGATTTATGTGGGTTTATTTTATATTCTGTAACTTTGCTAAAGTTGTTAATTGTTTCAACTAATTTTTTAGTTGATTCTCTAGGGTTCTCTAAGTATAATGTCATATAATCTAC